TGTCATACCATATTTAAATCTAACAAGACATGTCTATCTAAACAATACAGATTACATTTTAAACATTCAATTGGACTTCTCTTTATCTTATGTAAATTGAGTATTGTTTCATGTGTCATACCATATTTAAATCTAACAAGACATGTCTATCTAAACAATACAGATTACATTTTAAACATTCAATTGGACTTCTCTTTATCTTATGTAAATTGAGTATTGTTTCATGTGTCATACCATATTTAAATCTAACAAGACATGTCTATCTAAACAATACAGATTACATTTTAAACATTCAATTGGACTTCTCTTTATCTTTTTTAAATTGAGTATTGTTTCATGTGTCATACCATATTTAAATCTAACAAGACATGTCTATCTAAACAATACAGATTACATTTTAAACATTCAATTGGACTTCTCTTTATCTTTTTTAAATTGAGTATTGTTTCATGTGTCATACCATATTTAAATCTAACAAGACATGTCTATCTAAACAATACAGATTACATTTTAAACATTCAATTGGACTTCTCTTTATCTTTTTTAAATTGAGTATTGTTTCATGTGTCATACCATATTTAAATCTAACAAGACATGTCTATCTAAACAATACAGATTACATTTTAAACATTCAATTGGACTTCTCTTTATCTTATTTAAATTGAGTATTGTTTCATGTGTCATACCATATTTAAATCTAACAAGACATGTCTATCTAAACAATACAGATTACATTTTAAACATTCAATTGGACTTCTCTTTATCTTATGTAAATTGAGTATTGTTTCATGTGTCATACCATATTTAAATCTAACAAGACATGTCTATCTAAACAATACAGATTACATTTTAAACATTCAATTGGACTTCTCTTTATCTTATGTAAATTGAGTATTGTTTCATGTGTCATACCATATTTAAATCTAACAAGACATGTCTATCTAAACAATACAGATTACATTTTAAACATTCAATTGGACTTCTCTTTATCTTATTTAAATTGAGTATTGTTTCATGTGTCATACCATATTTAAATCTAACAAGACATGTCTATCTAAACAATACAGATTACATTTTAAACATTCAATTGGACTTCTCTTTATCTTATTTAAATTGAGTATTGTTTCATGTGTCATACCATATTTAAATCTAACAAGACATGTCTATCTAAACAATACAGATTACATTTTAAACATTCAATTGGACTTCTCTTTATCTTTTGTAAATTGAGTATTGTTTCATGTGTCATACCATATTTAAATCTAACAAGACATGTCTATCTAAACAATACAGATTACATTTTAAACATTCAATTGGACTTCTCTTTATCTTATGTAAATTGAGTATTGTTTCATGTGTCATACCATATTTAAATCTAACAAGACATGTCTATCTAAACAATACAGATTACATTTTAAACATTCAATTGGACTTCTCTTTATCTTATGTAAATTGAGTATTGTTTCATGTGTCATACCATATTTAAATCTAACAAGACATGTCTATCTAAACAATACAGATTACATTTTAAACATTCAATTGGACTTCTCTTTATCTTATGTAAATTGAGTATTGTTTCATGTGTCATACCATATTTAAATCTAACAAGACATGTCTATCTAAACAATACAGATTACATTTTAAACATTCAATTGG